AGGATTGAGGTTGGTGCCCGGCAAAAAAAAAAAAAAAAAAAAAAAAATTAACCGCAGACTTTATTTCATGTTAATAAGGAGGTTCTGATGGAATAGTTTTAGATAATGCGATAAAAAGTCACCAAATATGAGGGGCTGGGTGTGTATCTCAGTGGCAGGGCACCTGCTTAGCATGAGTGGGGCCTTGAATGTGATCCCAGCACTAATGAGAAAGTCACCTATTTTGAATTTTTCTTATCCTAATCTGTCATTTTAAACATGCTTTTCTAAATAATAAAGCAATATATCCTATCATAAAATGACCTACATAAAATATATCTAGGTCAAATAGAGTAAAATGTTTTTGTATTAAAAACTGAGCCAGGCACGGTAGCATGTACCTCAAATTCCAAGTATTGGAGAGGATGAGGCGGGAGTATCATGATTTGAGGCCAGTCTGGGAAACATAGCAAGAACCTGTCACAAAAATGAACAAAAGTGTGCCAGGCATGGTGGTGCACGCCTGTAATCCCACACTCGGGAGGGCTGAGGCAGGAGGATCACTGTGAGTTCGAGACCAGTCTGAGTTACATGGTGAGTTCTAGGTCAGTCTCAACCACATAGTGAATACCTGTCTCAAAAAACCAAAAAAAAAGAGAAAGTATTTATATCATAAAGGGGGGAAAACCTCAGTTCTGATGCACCTGTGTCCTTCATGAGAACAACATATAAAAACACAAAACATGAAGCTTGGGTATGTGATGTAACAGTAAAGCACTTGCTTAGCATGGATGAATCCTGAGTTCAATCTCTGGAACTGCAAAGATTTAATGTCCTCAGCTAAACACATGAAGTAAGTATAGGATTATATCTAGTTCAGGATGAACTACTAAGTTAGTGCATAAATGAAAAATGAGTTTTAGGTTGACCTGGCATTAAACATACTGGCATGGAAACAAAACAAAAATTTCCTATTAGCACATTACTGACAAGCATAGCTAAAAACTAGATATTTAAAATATATATACCAGGTAGAAAAAAGTAACATCTTTTTTTTAATGATTGTAGGGATCAAATCCAGAGCCTCACAGATACTAGGCAGGCAAGTGCCTTCCCTAATCATGGTTCTGATGTGTAACAGTGCCGAAAGTAGAAGCAGCAAAAGCCCCACTTTCTTGTTCATAATTCTGATAACGTTATAATCCTGGGTTTAAGCAACAATCATAATCTTGTTCATTACAAACATAAGGGGACAAAACATTAACCTACAGATGTGTAACCACCTACATCTATAGATGTGAAACAGACTCTTCAAAGTGACTATTTTGCACAAGATCTAGACTTTTTTTCAGGTTGTGTCCTGATACACCAACATAGTTCTAGGCTAATAAATATTTCCTTAAACCAACAAATCGTGAAAGCTGGGCATGGTGGTGCACACCTGTAATCCCCGCACTTGGGAGGCTGAGGCAGGAGGATTGTTGTGAGTTCAAGACCAGCATGGGCTACATAGTGAGTTCTAGTTCAGTCTCAACTAAATATTGAAATGTCTCAACCTCCCCACCAAAAAAACCCTCAAAACCAACAACAAAACCCAACAAATTGTGAAGTATAATCTTTAAAAACCAGCACAAATGTGACCAGCTTGATATTAAACCAAATTTATATATTGCAGAAATACTGTACAAAATCAATCTCATCTTTCGAGTACTAGACTTTAAGTGATTGTTTTGTTGTTTTTTCAATACTAAGGATGGAACCCAAAGCCTTGTGCATGCTAAGGAAGCACTGTACCAAGCTATATCCCCAACACCCTTATGTATTTTATGAAACTTAGTTAACCAGAGCTCAACTTAGCAGAGCTAAATCTGGATATGTAGACATTTAAGCTTCGCTAAAGTGTATGAAATTTCCTCTATTTAGATAGCAATGGCTTTGGTTTGAAGACTTCAATATTTAAAAGTAATTTTGTATTATTTCTCAGAATACTTGTACTTTTCAAATAATAAGCTTAGTAAAATGATGTGCACTAATAGATCCATGTGTAACACGATGTATGTCTAAATGTATTTCAGAATGAACTGAATTTAATGCACATAAATTCTCTTTTCAGTATCAATATGTATCATCAAAAGTAAGGTGATTTAGCCAGGTGTTGTGGTGCATGCCTGTAATCCCAGCACTTGGGAGGCTGAGGCAGGAGGATTGCCCTGAGTTCAAGGCCAGCCTGGGCTACATAGTGAGTTCAGGGCCAGCCTGAACTACAAAGGGAGGCCGTACCTCAAAAAACAAAACAAAACAAAAAGTAAGGCAACTTAATGCCGCACGAAAGATAATCTAAAAAGCATAACAGATAATGCAAAAATAAGTATTAATTGATTTTATATTTTCTGTACAGAAAAAATTTGGGGGAAAATTTACAAATAATTTAAAAAATAAGTTAACTAATGTGAGTCTAAAAATGGGTAAGGTTTAACTGCTATATAAATTATGTTAAATTTGACCAAGTAATAATTCCCATATGGCAAGATGTTTTAAAGCACAAGGTTGCATGAATCTCTCTTGAAAAAGATGCTAAAAAGCTCAAACACCAAGTGTTCATCCTATCTTTCTGTCAATATAGACTTTATTTATTTTTTTAAATGGGGATTGAACTTGGGTCCTTGCGCTTGTGAGGAAGGTGGTGGAACCACTGAGCTAAGTCTCCAGCCTTCAATATAGACTTTATTAACATGCCATTTGCTGCAAAGCATACAGGTCTGCCTAGTCTTTTGTTTCGGTTTTAATATCCTAAACTTAAAATTATTTCTGGATCCAACACATAAGGTAACCTACAAAAATTAGTCAAAATTAAACTTTATTTCTAGCTATCTCCTTTTGAAATCATCATTTAGGTTTATAACTGATATTTTTGCTACCAAGTAGCAAACTTATTTTTTGTATGTCTACCACAGAACTGACATCCCCAGTCCCATAATATATTATACTTGATAATCTTTTATACTAAAGTACACATCAGTCTGTCTTAAGAACTTACTAAAAATATGCAACTTATACTTAACTGCTTTAAGTTAGCTGGAGAGTACTAGGTTTTCTAAGAGAAAAGTACTACTTTTTGTTGTTTGTTTTTCTAATTTCCAGAAAAAGTTGGTCTGCATTAAGCTAGTTTTTGTTGTTGTTTTGAGTTTTTGGCAGAACTGGGGATGGAACCCAGGAGTGTTGCTCTACTACAGAACTTCATTTCTAGCTTTTTTTTTTTTTTTTTTTTTTTTTTGTATTTTGTTTTGAGAGTTGTAAAAAGCTGCCCAGACTGGCTGCAACCTAGTGATCCTCCCAAACAGCCAAGGTTACAGGTGTGTGTGCTATCATGGCCAGCTTAGGCTTGTCTTTTTTTTTTTTTTTTTTTTGGTACCGGGGATCGAACTCAGGTCCTTGTGCTTGCACGGCAGGGAGCAAAACCTCTGAGCCAAATCCCTTGCCCTAGACTTGTCTTAATAAGAAATAAACGGATGATTTAAATTTACAAATGTTACAGTGACAGTTTGTTTTAAGGCAGAGACAACACTAAATTCAATTCTAGTGCATCTTATCCCATGTCTAAATAAAGATGCTCTATCAGTTTTCCAATTTTGTTTGTCTAATATAAAGGCTGAATGACTTTCTTACATGTATGAGTTTGGATTCAGAACACCCACTGATTATGGTACTATATTTATTGGAACTTATTTCAGTTGGGTGGAGGAAGACTAGAATTGCCTACTTTTAAAATTTAGATAAAGCTCATAGTGTTTTAATACATATTTAAACAAGTAGAAGTATATTCAAAAAGGACTATGAGAGAAGAATCACAAGTATAAAGGGAGCTTTATAGTAAAACAAAAATATAGCATTTTGGATTGCCCAAAATGCATAATACATAGAACTCTTAAGTCATGTAGTTTACTTGCTGACCATCTGGCTACAATTCAAACAGTTAAGGTCCCAAAAGTTGTACCTAGTAATGTTCCAAAATTGCTTTTAAATTAAGTTCTTAAATTGCAGCAATAAACAAAACACAATACACTTAAACAATACTGCAGTTTATAAAAAACACATTTAAGAAAAACTTATTCTTTTAGTAATAAAAATGTTTTAACTGTTATAAACATGTTTATCATGTAATTATTTGCATAACTCTAGTAATACTATCAGTAGCTATGAGAACTTTAAAGAAAAACACTAAAGGCATAAAAATACTTAGCCCCATTATTTACCTGTAGAACATGTTCATTTATGCCTACATCCGGCATTTGCTATATCATCATTGTTCTAATTTTAAAAGTTACATCCAAAAGATAAGGCAAAAACCACCTAAGAATTGGCATATCTGTTTATTTCTGTTTGTGAAAATGTCCTTAATTTGCTGATGTGGCAAACAAATTCCAACGGATTGCTATGCAAAAAACAAGATAATCTGCTTTGCAATTAACTTTACAGTTCAATTGCATACAGGCAACATGCTATATATGAAAAAATTACTACCTGATCTACAAGTATTAAATACTGAAAAATTAACAGTTTATTATAATTTATTTTATTTAACAATCTAGGAAGTTCGCAGCCATCAGCAGTTCCAGTGCTATTTCAGGTGCGATGGGAAATTCGGGAATCTCGGTGGAGCTGTTAGTGTAGCGAACCTTGTAGGTAAAATACATGCAGACTTTTGAAAGCACATGTGAAGGGATCTCTCTAAAATTGACCTCATTGGTTTCATTTTCAGCAAACTGACCTGTAAAACAAAAGGATTGTTGTATGTTATGGGCTGAACACTGCCCCAACCCCAATTCCTATGACGGAGGTACCTAGTACCTCATGATGTGACTGTATTTAAAAATGTCACTAAGTTAGATAAAGTCTCTGGGTGGTGATATGATATGACTGATTTCACAAGACCAGATCAGGATACAAACAGGTACAGGGGGAAGACTATATGAAGACACAGGGAAAGGACCATCTACATCGGCAAGGAAAGAGGCCTCGGAAGAAATCAACCTGTCAACACTTTCAACCCTGACTACACTCCAGTCTTGGTGGTTAAGCCATTCAGTCCATTGTCCTTTGCTATGGCACTCCTAGCAAACAAACAAATAACTCCACACAGCGACTCACAAATTACCTGATTTTTGAATATAAACAACATAAAAAACTGTATTAAAACAGAGTTTGAGATTCATCAAGACCGAATTTTAAAATTCTAATTCTACCCCATAGTCTGGAGACTTAAACAGCTTTTCCTAAGACTCTTGATGGTCTGATTACTGAAAGGTGAAAAGGATTAAAAAGAAAAAAACTAAATCATTCTTTTAGAAGATTCAGTTTGAGGAATCAAGTCTTCACAGATTAGCAGGAGTTCTATGCTGTACTGAACTGCTACATAAAAATGTCACAGCAACTAATAGATTTTCTAATTTGGCTTTTTGGCTGTGAGTGAATATATATACTAGATAATGAGAAATACCTTGTTGCACTTGGGCCGGAACCCAGGGCCTTGTGCATGCTAAACACATGCTCTACCACTGAGCTTCACCCCCAGCCCAAGACATATTATTATTTTTTTTAAATCACTCTGGCAAGGAAATCCACTATTGCCTCCTTTAGTTTTTTAAAAAAATATGCCATGAGCAGGGTCAGCTTGGGCAACTTCGTGAGCCCCTGTCTAAAAATAAAAAAATAAACAGGGCTGGGGATGTGGTTCAGTGGTAAGGTAACTCTGGCTTCAATACTCAATACTGCTAAAGAAAAATAAAAATGCTCATGTTAATAGTATACACTCATGAGAATCTTCTCTTTGTTTAATAGTACCTCATAGTTTTCAGACATCCATCAAATTATTTTTAGCCACATATGCAACATTGTTTAGCCTTTACTCAGAGGGACAAAATGTTTAACAGTCTAGTACTGGCACTGTGTAATGAATACAAAAGGCATTTCATATCTAAAAATACATTTTCTGAGAATGTGGCAGTAAGACTTATACTTTCTATGTGGGTGAGGGTATGAAAGGAAGAGGGCAGCAAACAATTCACAACGAAGTAAACTCTGGTTTGCCAGTAAACCTTTCTCGACTATGCATACAAAATATTATCAACAGGTACCTATTGGACTCTAGTACTAGTTTTTCTTTGTTAAGGCGAAGTTCATATAATCAACCATTTTAAAGTATACAACTCCATGGCATTTAGTGTACAACCAACACAGTTCCAAAACTACTTTTCTTTTTTGGGCCTGATTAGAGATTGAATCTCAGGGTACTCCAATGCTGAGCCACTTCTCTAGTCCTTGTTATTTATTTACTTTTGAGACTGGGTCTCACTAAGTTGCCCAGGCTGGGCTTGAGCTTGCAGTCCTCTTGCCTTGGCTCCAAAATATTCCATCAAGCCGAAATAAAACCACAAACCATTAAGCAGTTATCCCCAGTTTCTCCAGGCTTTGTCAAATACTAATCTGCTTTCTATCCATATGGATTTACTTAATCTGTATATTTCATGCAAATGAAATCATATTAAGTGTCAGCTTTCTCTCAGGGAGCATGTTTTGGAAATGCATTCATATTGCAGCATGCCACAATACCTTACCACAACAAGCCCCCATTTTTGCAATACTAGGGAATGAAATAAGGGTATTATTCATGGTAGGCAAGTGCTCTACTACTAAGCTGTATCTCTGGCTCTATTTCATTCTGTTTTATGAAAACAATACTTTTGGGCTGAATGGTTTCCTGCTCCTTCCCAGATAAAACTTGTTTCTAAAATAAAGGAAGCCGGGCATGGTGGTGCATGCCTACAATCCCAGCACTTGGGAGGCTGAGGTGGGAGGATTGCTGTGAGTTTGAGACCAGCCTGGGCTACATAGTGAGTTCCAGGTCAGTCTCAACTACATAGTGAGACCCTGTCCCAAAACACAAACAAACAAACACAATAAATAAATAAAAATACATAAATAAAAATAAAGGAAATCCAGGGCTAGGGATTTAGCTCAGTGGTTCCACCGCCTGCTTTGTAAGTGCAAGGTCCCGAGTTTAACTCCTGGTCCAAAAAAAGGGGGAAATTTTAATCTAAAATGTTGTTGGCATTTGTGATTATTCCCCCAAAAGCAATTCTTTGCACTGTCTAGCATGAAAGCCTAAAATCAGCAGGATGAATTGCTACAGGCCTGTCATCCCAGGTACTCTGAAGGCTGAGGCAGGAGGATCTCAAAGTTAAGGTTGGGCAATTTAAATACAGCGAGACCCAAAGGGAATGGGGTGGAGAAAGTATAGCTTAGTAGCACAGCACTTTCCTAGCATGTGTCAGGACCTGTGTTCAACTCCTAGCACTAAATAAATACCCAGAGCAGTGCATCTCCCTAGCACTCAGGACTCTGAAAAAAAAAACTGCTTTAGGATTGAAGAATACTGTATAGGACAAGCCTGTGAAAACTTATTACAGAAAGTAGTACAGCTATCCTAGTGATACCACGTCAAAAGCGTGTAAGAACCAAACCGATAAGGCTCTTTCTGGCATAAAAAGTGAATAATTTCAGCATCAGTAAGAATGACTGCCATCAAGTACAGTGGAATGCACCTCTATTCCCAGCTCCTGAGGAGGCTGAGGTAGGAGGTTTTCTTGAGCCTAAGAATTCATGGCCAGCCTAGAAGGGCATCATAGCGAACCCCCAAGAATGCCTGGAAGGAACTGAAAAAACATTAAATATTAAAGTTATAAGTTTGTAACACCAAAACTCACAACTAAAACATCTCCACTAATCCAGGCATGGTGGCATATACCTTATAATGCTTGTATTCTGGGAGGCTAAAGCAGGGGGTGGTTCCAAGTTCTAGTCCAGGCTGGACAATTTAGCAAGATTCTACTTCAAAATAAAAATTTTAAAAAGGGCTGGGTTGTAGCTCACTATGAAAGCCCTGGGTTCAAACCCCAGTACCAAGAAAAAGTAAAATAAAAACAAAACGGAAGAGGAAGAGGAAAAGAGAGAGGAAAAAGAGGAAGAGGAAGGAAGAGGAAACACCAGTAGCAAACATTTTATCTTTATATAAACTTGTATCTTTTCATAGACTGTATTTCAAAGTAATCAAAATAGGAGTTTTTTGGCAGTACTAGGGATTGAACCCAAAATCTTCACACTGAGCTGTATCCCCAGTCCGTTTTAATTTTTCATTTTGAGTCAGGATCTTGCTAAATGACTAATTTGTCCAGGCTAGGCTTAATATTGCAGCCTCCCAGAGTGCTGGGGATTACAGGCAATCTCCACTTGGCCTGGTGTAATAAAATATTTCTTTATAGAATGATTCTAGTCAATAAAGACAGAAAAAATTATAGCTATTTTGTAATCACCAATGAAGTGAATCACAATAGTCACAATGAATGCCAAAACCATTACATGAAAACCAGAGTAGGGAGTTTTCATGGGCGAATCAGTCTGACAATCCTGGAGCCCACTTTACCAATCTGGACGTTGCTAAAAGATGTGATATAACAGGAATACAGTTAGTGCACAAAGTGCTGAACCTATCCCCAAAACCATTAAACAGGAGAGAAAAGAAAAAAAAAACCTTCACAAGATTGAGGGGATACAAAAATAGCACTTATAGCTGGGCATGGTGGCACAGGCCTATAATCCCAGCACTCAGGAGGCTAAGGAGAATTATAGCAAGTTTGAGGCCAGCCTAAACTAATGGCAAGACTCTGTCTCAAAAAACTAAAAAAAAAAAAAAAGTATCCTTGATTAGAAATAAGAAGCAGAATCTAATCAAATCTCTACTATTCTTTTTTTTTTTTTTGGTTACCAGGAATTCAACTCAGGGCCTTGCTAAGGAAATATTAAATTTATCTAAAATGTGGACATTGCGCCAGGGATTTAGCTAGTGGTTCCAGCTCCTGCCTTGAAAGTGCAAGGGCCCAAGATGGATACCCGGCACCAAAACCACAAGAATAACAACAACAACAACAATAAAACGTGGACATATATAAATGACCTTGTTTCTCTAAAAACCTGATGGTCTCTATTAAAAAGGTACATAAGAACTATGACACAAAGTCAGAGATTTGCTTAAAATACTAAAAAGTGGGGAGGGCTAGGGACAATAGGTAAAATGAGATATGATGGACAAAATGTTAATAAAATATTAATAAAATGAAATATTAATATTAAAGTTGGTTGATGAGTATATGGAGGTTTATTACAGTATTCTCACTATTTCTGTTTAATATTTTCATACTAAAAATACAGAAAAGGAATTGCAATGGACACTAAATAACCAAAAAACATTGAAACAAATTAAAATTAGAAGCCTCACACAGCCCTATTTCTTTTTTTTGGGTGCCAGGGATCGAACTCAGAATGTTGCGCTTGTGAGGCAGGAGCAGTGCCACTGAGCTAAATCCTCAGCCCTCACAAAGCCCTATTTCCAACTTACTGCAAAGATGTAGTAATCAGAACAATGTGATACCAGAGTTCGATCACCAGCACCAAAAAAAAAAAAAAAAAAAAGGCTGTGACCTTATCTTTGACAAAGGAGCCAAACACTTTCACTTGAAGAAAGACAGACTCTTCAATAAATGATGCTAGAAAACTGGCTTTCCACATGCCGAAGACTAAATCTAGACCCGTATCTTTCATCACACACTAGACTGAAATAAACTGCATCAAAGATCTAAATATTAAAACAGAAACACTAAATCTGCTAGAATATAGCATAGATAGAACTCTTGAAGACATTGGTGTAGGCAAAGACTTTATGAACAAAGCTGATCACACAGGAAATATCAGAAAGAATCAACAACTGGGATCTCATCTTTTTTTTTTTTTTTTGATATCAGGGATCAGACTCTGGACCTTGCGCTTGGGAGGAAGGTGGCGGCTCCACTGAGTTAAGTCCCTGGCCCTCGGATCTCATCTTATTAAAAAGCTTTTGTACAGCAAAAGAAAGCACCAACACAGTGAAGAGACAACTCATGATGTGGGAAAATACTTTTGCCAGCTGTTCCTCAGAAAAAGAATTAATATCCAGAATACATAAAGAACTAAAAAAAAACAGATTCCCCCAAATTTAAAGAATCAATCCAAAATGAGTATCTGAAATGAAGAGACACCTCTCAGATGAAGAAAGAGAAACAGCAAATAAATATTTGAAAAAATGTTCAACATCACCGGTCATTCCAGAGATTCAAATTAAAACAATGCTGAGATTCTATCTCACTTCAGAAAGAACGGCTGACATCAAGAAATCAACCAAACAGCCAGGATTTATCTCAGTGGTACTGCCACCTGCCTCACAATCAAAAGGCCCCAAGTTCAATGCCCAGTACCACCCAAAAAGAAAAGAAATCACCAATAAATGCTGGCAGGGCTGTGGGGATAAAGAAACCTTTTCCCACTGTTGGTGCAGACTGGTGGAGTGTACACTGGTAGAACCACTGTGGAAACCAGGGTGGAGATTCCTGAAAAAATTAAAACTTGAGGTTCTGTTTGAGCCAGCCATTCCCCTTCTTGTTATCTTTCCAAAAGAATTAAAAGCATTATAACTACAGCAATATATGCACACCTATATTTATAGTGGCATAGTTTTTAACAGCTAAATCTTGGAGGGCCAGGAATTTAGCTCTTGGAAACAGCCCAAATGCCAATCAACTGATTGAATTGATAAAGATGTGAGTTTTTATACAATGGAGTACTACTCAGCTACAAAGAAAGATGAGCTTGAGACATTTCTAGCTAAATGGATGCACCTTGAGACCGTAATTTTAAGTGAGATAGGCACAAATGTTTAAATACCACATTATCTCTCTGGCATGAGGAACCAAAAGTGGAAACAAGGACCAAAATGTATAACAGATATTGGGAAATGGGAAGAAAATGTTCAAATGAGAAAAAGAACATGAGAGGGGGTGGGGGAAAGAAAAGAGAAGGGATAAAGAGAATAGAAGGAAAAAATGGAAACAAAGCTTTTGTAAATAAGGAGGGGAAGAAGGGTCAAGGAGAGAATGGGAAAAAAAGCAAGATATAACATGTATGGGAACAAATTCCCTAAGATGAATGTTATCATTATGTTTATCTAACATGTACCAGCAAAGGCTTTGCTTTGAAAAGGAGGAGTGGGTATACCACAGTGATACTGCAAGATTCCAGGTTCAATCCCCAGTACTGGAAAAAGAAAAAAAAGGAAAAAACCACCCCCCAAAACAAAAGAGACAATAGGAAATATTGGCCAAGACATATAAAAACCCTACTGTGCTAAGAAAATTATTCATCTGCTGTGGAAACAACTTGGTGGTTCCTCCAGAAACTAAACATATGATTAAACAATTCCACTACAAGGAATATACGTTAAAGAAACAAAAGAAGGTAGAAAACAAATAATCTATACATAAATGTTCAGAGCAGCACTATTCATCACAGCCTAAAGGTGGAAACAACCCAAAAAGTTCATCAACTAATGAACAGATAAACAAAATGTGACATATTCACCCACTACACTTTCACGTAGCCATAAAAAGGACTGCAGTACTACTGCTATACATGCTACCCACCACATGGATGAACCCTAAAAACATTAATGTCAAGTGAAAAAAAGCCAGACACATTTTATGATTCCATTTGTATGAAGTGTCTAGAACAGGTAAATTTACTGTTTTGTGTTTTTTTGAGACAGGGTCTCACTATGTAGTTGAGACTGACCTGGAACACACTATGTAGCCCAGGCTGGTCTCAAACTTACAGCAATCCTCCTGTCCCAGCCTCCCAAGTGCTGGGATTACAGGCGTGTGCCACCATGCCCGACTTAGAACAGGGAAATTTAAAAAGCAGATTGGTAGTTGCTGAATAGTGCTAGGGACAGAAGAGATAATGATAGCTTAATGAGTATGGAGTTTCCTTTTGGAGTGATGAAATTGTCTTGGAATTAGAAGTGACAGTCTCAAAACACTGTGAATGTAGCGCATGCAACTAAATTGTACACTTTAAAACTTTGTGAATTTTTAAGGTTAAAAAATTTTATTTCAAGAAAAAATATTTCAAGAAAAAAAGATTAAGAATACAAATCTGGGAGGTGATGACTTCTATACTTTAAATATAACTAGAACAAAATCATGACTCAGTCTTTAAGAACAGAAAATGGTAGAAACCAACTTTTTTTCCAATCAATATAATCATGCAATAATATTATAAGAGAAACTCTCCCCGGGCGTGGTGGCGCATGCCTGTAATCCCAGCACTCAGGAGGCTGAGGCAGGAGGATCACTGTGAGTTCAAGACCAGCCTGGGCTGTATACTGAGTTCCAGGTCAGTCTCAACTACATAGTGAGACCCTGTCTCAAAAAAAACCAAAAAGAAAAGAAGAGAAACTTTCATTTTAAATGCTAAGAGTTGTTTGATTCAACTTAAAAAAAAGATTCAACAAACAAAAGATGCACAAAGGAAAACAAAGAACTATACTTACCTGGGCCACTCAACATGGCTTTTATTGTTCCTGATGTTAGTGCATGTTCTCTTTTTACAATAAATTCATGACCATCAGAAGATATCAATTTGACATACATTGCATCAGGGCCTTCACAGCCACCATAGGTTTTCTCCTCACCATCTGAAGGAAAGTAAGTAGTGAAATGAGTTTTGCATTACATATGTATTAAAAACAAACAGTGCCTGGAATGATGGCACACATCTATAATCCCAGCTATGTGGGAGGGGCTGAGGCAAAAGGATCATATATTTGAGGCCAAACTGGAAAAATTAGCAAAGCCAGGTCCAAATAAAAACTAACAGTGGTGCTACCACCTGCCTTGCAAGCGCAAGGTCCTGTGTTCAATCCCTAGTACCCCCCCCCAAAAAAAAAAAAAAAGTACTAGGGATGTACCTCAAAGGTAGAAAGCTGTTCATGGGTTTGATGCCAGGGCATGAGGGAGGGAAAAAAGGATAGATAGATGAATTAGGTTTACCAAGGTTAACATTTGAGGAATTCAAGACCAAAAACATTTCTGTAAGATAACATTACCAAGATTTAAAATTTTTTTTTGTTTTGTTTTTGTTTTTGTTTTTTGAGACAGGGTCTCACTATGTAGTTGAGACTGACCTGGAACTCACTATATAGCCCAGGCTGGTCTCAAACTCATAGTGATCCTCCTGTCTCAGCCTCCCAAGTGCTAGGATTACAGGTATGCACCACCACACCCAGCAAGATTTTAAAGTTTTTAACATCCTACTTTACTCTAAATATCTTCCACTGTCATATAAACTGTATCAAAGGATATAACACTGATGAAAAATCTATCAGAAATTTTCAAGGAAGCATTTATTTGTGACTAAAACAGCACATTCAAATGTGAAGCCTAAGACAAAAATATTTAAATAGTATGACTTCAATTATATCATGTGAAATGCTTTATAAGAAATAAAATGCAGGTACAAGATCCCAGTAATGAATGTAGCTGTACTGTCTACCTAGAATGTACCAATAAATTAAATTAAATTTAAAAAAAAAGAAATAAAATGCAGGGCTGGGCACCTAGCTCAGAGGTTTCTTGCCTGCCTGGCAAGCACAAAGTCCTGAGTTTGCTTCCTGGTACCAAAAAATAAAAAAATTTTAAAAAATTAAAAAAAGAAAGAAAGAAAATGAATAGTTTATGGTTGAATGTTTATATGTCATATGAGAAAACCTTCCTTTGGCAAGCCCCAAATCTATAAGTTAAAGCTTCTTTTACTCAGCATTACATTTCCAAAAGCAATCTTAAAACTATTTGTCAATTTAAATTATTGGATGACAGCTGGGATTGGTGGCACACGCCTGTAATCCCAGCACTCAGGAGGCTGAGGCAGAAGGATTGCTGTGAGTTCGAGACCAGGCTGGGCTACATAGTGAGTTCCAGGTCAGTCTCAACTACATGGTGAGACCCTGTCTCAAAAAACCAAAAATAAATAAATTAAATTAAATTAAAAAGTAAATAAATTATTGGATGATTGAAGTAACACAAAATATCAATCTTTAAAAATTCAAAGTAGAGGGACTAGGTGATGCAGCTCAGTGGTAGTGTAGTTGCCTACCATGTACAAGGCCCTAGGTTCAATCCCTTGCACTACCACCACAATAAAAATAAGTAAAAAGAAGTGAGAACAGATCTGTTACCAGATATCTGTACTGCCACAGTGCTAGCTTTAGCCACAGTAGTCGGCCCAACGTTAACTTTTTGTCACCAAAGAACTTTCTCCATACCCCTCAAAGTAGGCAAACACTTAAAGGACACTAAAGAAGCTGTGTATGGTGGCTCATGTCTGTAGTCCCAGAACTCTGGCTAAGGTAGGAGAATCACAAGTTTGAAGCCAGTCTGGGGCTGCTAGTGTGTTCTAGGCTACCCTGGACTATATGGTGAGACTCTGTCTCAAAACCAAAACAAAACAAGGACACCAAAGAAACAAGTTAATACAGTAAGTGACCCCTTATTGGGTCCTAGATTAAAAAAACAAAAACAAAAAAATCAAAAAACCTGCTGTGAAGAACACTATTGAAACAATTGAGAAATCCTAAAATGGGCTAAATTAGAAGACACATGTGGAAGTATTTAATTGCGAAGTGTTGTTGTATAAATACTGAACAGTAGAGAAGCAGTGCACAACATGCAGAGAAAGTAAATATGGCAAAACATAACTATTCAATGAAAGCTATGAGTGTATTAGTTTTGCAATTTTTCATAAAAAAAAAATCCAGAGGAATACAAGATGTAACTAACTTGGAAACTGAGTATTCAAACGCACAGAATTTTTTTTAGCAATTTTTTGCTAATATCTAAAAAACTTAAATATCAATTATTTCAATTTAAAATTGTTTCTAATATATTTCACAAGACAAACCATTTTATGCTTGTTAGGAAAGTTACAAATTTCTGAAGGTACAGTTATTAATCAGATCTTACCAACTAGATCTGGTACAATATCATTACTGATCTGCCTTTCAGGAATATACAGTAAACTAATTTCAATTTAGCTATTTTCTTACTTGTATTAATGACTCAGAACCTTAGCTTTCTTTAATAGATTTAAAAAAAAAACCTAACTTCTACTAACTGAAACAGAGAAACTGCCTTTATATAACTTACCCATTATGTTCTTATATAATTCTACTTTGGTTCCACAGGAACTTTTAGTAGTTTCCTGAAAATATAAAAACACAGTATTAAACTAATGTTGTTTAAAAAAAAAAAAAAGACTGTTGTAACAGACATGTTTTCACTTATTATTACTTATGTCCTCAATCATGATTCCAACACACAATTCTATCAATCAACTCAAAAGTACCAAAATGTTTTGTGAGATTCATCAGTTGAATCTTCAAAATTACAAGAGTATTTAAAATAGAAAATAACAAATAACCACTATACATTGATTTGCAGTGGTAACAATGAGGGAAAGATTGTGAAGTATGTGCCATGTTAAGAGTGAACAAAAGCCAGATGTGGTGGTGCACACTTGTAATCCCAGCATTGAAGAGGCAGAGGCAGGAGGATCGCCATGAGTTCAAGGCCAGCCTGGGCTACACACTGAGTTCAAGGCTAGCTTGAACTACATAGAGAGACCCTGTATCCGCCCCCCTCCAAAAAAAAAAAAAAAAAAGAGTGAACAGAGCTGGGGATTTAGCTCAGAGGCACTGCCGCCTGTCTCACAATCACAAAGTCCTGAGTTCAATCCCTGGTATTGCAAAAAATAAACAAAAAGAGAGTGAACAGAAATGGTGGTTCAAACCTGTACTTCCACCGCTCTGGTAGGCTGGGGCAGGAGAATTGAAAGTTTGAGCCCAGCCTGGGCAATTTGGTAAGAATCCTGTGTCAAAATTAAAAATAACTGCGCCTGCCTTGCATGTAAAAGGTCCTGAGTTCAATCCCTGGTACCAAAATAAATAAATAGATAGATAGATAGATAGAAAGAAAGAAATAAAAAATAAAAGTAAAAAAAGGGCTGGGGGTGTAATTCAGGGCAAATGTCCTCAGTTCAATCTCTAGATACAGGGAGAAATACAATACAATTGTATCTTACATACTGTTGAAGAGAAAAATGTAAATTAGAAATCAGTAGGTATGTGTCTCAAAAAGCTAAAAACAAACTCATTTGATCCAGCTATACCACTCCTTGGTATACACCTGAAGGAATTAAAGTCAGCATATTATAGAGATACTGCCATACCCATGGTTTATTTAGATACAATGTGTAACATGGAATCAGCCTATGTGCTCATTAATGGATGAATGGGTAAAGAAATATATACAATGCAGTGTTGTTCATAAAAACAAATTAAATCATGCTATTTGCAGGAAAAATGGGAGGAACATGGAGATCATGTTAAATGAAATAAGCTAGATTCAGAGAAAGATATAACATACACACTTTCCCTAGGAATCTAGGGGAAAACAGACAAAAATAAACATTAAAAAATATTTTTTTCTATACAGCAATGATGAACCAGCTGAAAAAAGAAATCAGAAAAATCCCAATCTTTAAAAATTCACAATCTTTTTTCTTTCTTTTTTTTTCGGAACTGGGGAATGAACTCCGGTCCTTGTACTTGCGGAACCACTGAGCTAAATCCCAGGCCCCAAAATTCACAATCTTAAAAAAAAAAAAAACCTAGAGAGCCGGCATGGTGACATTTGCCTGTCATACCAGCACTCAGGAGGCTGAGGCAGGAGGATTATTGAGTTTGCGTCAGCCTGGGCTACATAATGAGTTTAAGGCCAACCTGAACTACATACTGAGACCTTGTCTCAAAAAACAAAATAAAACAAAACTTGCCACATGTGGGGCGTGGTGGTGCACGCCTGTAATCCCACCACTCCGGAGGCTGAGGCAGGAGGATCACTGTGAGTTCAAAACCAGCCTGGGCTACACAGTAAGCTTCAGGTCAATCTCAACTACATTGTGAGACCCTGTCTCAAAAAAAAGCAAAGCTGGAGCAATAACCAATTTCAAATTATCACATAGCCACAGTAACAAAAACATCTTGGTACTGGCATGAAGATAGATATATAGACAAATTAAATAAAATAGAGAACACAGAAACAAACTATACAACTACAGCCATCTGATTATTGAGACTAGAATAAAAAATGTATATTGAAGAAAAGAGCCTTTTTAGCAAATGACGCTGGGGGGAAATGGATAACCATATATAGAAGACTGCAACTAGATCCCAATCTCTCATTCTGCACAAAAATCAATTTGAAACAGATGAAAGACTTAGGCATAAGACCTGAAATGTTGAAACTGCCACAAGAAAACACCGGGGAAACACATAAAGCCATAGGCACATGCAAAAGCTGCCTGAATTGGTCTCTAGTAGTGTGAGAAATAATAGTCAACAAATGCAACTTCAAATTAAAGTTTCTGTTCAGCAAACATGAGAGAAGAGACAATAGGAGAAATTCTGCCAGCTATTCTTCCAACAGAGAATTATCTAGAACTTATAAAACACTCAAACTCCACCACACACACACACACACACACACACACACACACCCCAAATGGCTCAATGAAATGGGCAAATGACCATTTTTAAAAATTGCAAGTATATGGAAAATTATTCATCATCTTTAGCCATTAAGAAAATGCAAATCAAAACACTGAGACCTCATCTCACACAAGTCACAATGGGAATCATGAAGAATACTAACTAAACAAATGCTGGCAAGAACAGGGAAAAACTGAGTATTTCTACACTGCTGGTGGGAATGTAAATTAATACAGCCAATGTGGAACTAAGTATGGAGGTTCCTCAAAAAACTAAAAACAGTGCCAACCAGCTGTGGAGGCACATGCCCATAATTCCAGCACTTGGGAGGCTGAAGCAGGAGGATCACCTTGAGTTCAGTTGAGGCCAGCGTAGACCACACAGTGAGTAGGCCACCCTGAACTGCACAGCCAGATGCTGTCTTTAAAAAAACCAAACCAAAACAAAAGCAAACCCTAAAATAGAACTTCCACATGATCCAGCTATATACCACTCGCTGGTATATAGGAAGGAATCAAAGTCATCATACTATATGGACAATCACACACTCAAGTTTACTGCAGCACAATTCACAATAGCTAAGATACAAAACCAACCTAGGTGCCCATCAACAGATGAACATAGCTAGAAAATGTGTTATGTACATTCAGTGGAGTATTGTTCAGCCATAAAGAACACATTTCTATCACTTTTAGGAAAAAGAATAGAATTTTTAAGTGAAAACATCACATTTTCCCTAATATATGGAATCTGAAAAATAAGGTGAAACAACAGAAGGGAGAGCACTAGAGAAAAGGAGGGAAGAAGGAGCACAGAGAAGAGTGTAAGAGAGGGTCATGGGAGGATGGAGACAATCAAATTACATTGTACACGTGTATGAATATAGTACAAACTCAATATTTTGTAAAACTGACAGGCAGTAACAAATATATACGAAAAAGAAAAAAAGAATATTAGAAGTGGATCGGAAGCACAAGGTCCTGAGTTTGACCCCCAGTACAAAAAAAAAAAAGTGGATCAGGAAGAGGGGTCTAAGGGAGAGTAAGGGGGAATGAATGATCAAATTATGCTATATAAAAAAGCTACAATGAAATTCAGTATTTTGTAAAATTAAGATGAACTAACAAAAATGTAAGAATTGGGGAAAAAGTTAACAGACATTAAAAAAACAGTACAGTCCATTAAATGCAAACACATATCATAATGATCAAGAAAAATAAACTGCATTTCTGAGTTGTTCTAAGGCAATAATAATCCTTTATTCTTTTTCTGAGTAAAGAGCTCTGTCAAGAATCTGAAGTTGGGTCTTGTACAATAAAAGCGTGTCCCTGCTTTGCAGAATAAATCTTTGTCCTTGGTTTCTGGGAGGTGACCTCTAAATCCATGGAATTTTACTATGGACCCTGTTGGACCCTGACAGTTCATGTTAACCAGTTGACTAGAAGGCCTCCAGATAGCACAAGGTAACTAGAGGACCCACGATGAAGAGCACTGAGGGCCTTGATAAACAGCACGACCTTCACTGGAAGAGGGCTGAAGACAGTTCAATCTTGTTCATGCTTTATCAGCAAAGCCTACGTAAACTCAGGGAGATTTTAAGGTTAATAATATTCAGTGTGCTTTGCTACATGTCAATGTGCTAGGAGATCCACTCCTACTGACTCAACAGATTGAGGACATAGGAAGCTCTGTATCCTGCATTTTCTTTTTTGCAGGGGAGGAGGTACCAGGGATTGAACTAGGGACCTTGTGCTTACAAGGCAGGTGGTGGCACCACTTAGATAAATCCCCGGCCCTGTATCCTGTATTCTCTAGCTGGTGGTAAACACTAAGCAAATATTTGCTTGAACAAATGACAACATGATATAACAAAGGACATTAAGTAGTGTCTAGTACATATAAAGTTTTGCTCTTCCATTCCTTGTGCATACAGGCTACCAAAGTTCTAAAATTTAATGAAATGGTAAAAAATGATAATTTTTTAGTAGTCTTAATTTTACAAAACAAGATGACTCCTAAAGGAAAATATTTTATTTCAGTAATTTGTGTTTTAACAACATACAATAGCATCTCTTAGAAGGATGTTACTGTACCAATATTATTCTTCATGTCAGTAATAGAAAAACAGCCCATCATTTTTTTTTTTTTTTTTTGGAGACAGGGTCTCACTTATGTAGTGAGACTGACCTAGAACTCAATGTGTAGCCAAGGCTGGTCTCAAACTCACAGTGACCCTCCTGCCTCAGCCTCTAGAGTGCTGGGATTACAGGCGTGCACCACCACGCCTGGCAAAAATAGCCTATCTTAACTATCATGTTCTTGGCCAATACTTTAATGCATGCCTTATGGAAAAGGTGAAGCAAATAAAACATTTAAAGCAAGAAAGGAATTTAGGAAAAAACGTCTTTAAACGTGCAGTTTATAGAGAGGCCATTTGTTCCAAGTAGAAATGAAGTAGCAGAAATCAAATCTACTTGGGAAGTTGAGGAAGAGGCTAAACTGTGTGTGGTGATGCACATCTGTAATTCCAGCACTGGGGAATCTGAAGTAGGAGGATTGCTGTGAGTTTGAGGCCAGCCTTGAATTATAAACAGTGAGACCCTGTCTGAAAAAGGAAAGGGGGAAGAAGGGGCCGGGGGCTGGTCTGCCTGAG